AGTAGAAAGGATGAATCAAACTCTGAAAAATCAGCTTACTAAATTAATTTTAGAAACTAAGTTACCTTGGACTAAATGCCTTTTTAAGAATCTGAACAGTCCCTTGAAGAGCTATTGGCCAATCCCCACACGAAACACTTTATGGGTTACCCTACCTAAGCTCTACTACTGACCTTCCTACTTTTGAGACAAAGGATCAGTGCCTCTAAAACTATATACTTGGCTTGCCTACCACCCTACTTTCTCTTAGGAAAAAGGGTCTCCTGGTGCAGACACCTCCCTTAGAGTTCCTGGTACATCCTCATCAACCTGGTGATTACGTATTAATCATGAGCGAGAGAGAAGAAAAATTGGAGCCAACCTGGGAAGGACCCTATCTGATGCTTTTAACCACAAAAACTGCAGTTCGTACAGCAGAAAAAGGCTGGACTCACCACACACGGGTAAAGAAAGCCCCCCTACTTACTCAGGAAAAATGGACTGTGATCCCAGGACCCACTCCTACCAAATTATCTTTCAAAAGGATTTAATTATCTTTTTCTTTCTCTTTCTCCCCTTACTGAAGGACATTTTACCATTAACATAACTCAGGCCAACTCTCCTCTGACTATTCAGTTTGATGCTTGCTCTATCATCCCATGTGGACAAGAGGAGTCTCAGAGGCAATTGTCTAATGTTGATAAATACCTCTGGCCCCTTCAGAGCAGTGGGGTGTAAATATAAATATGGTGCCTTAAAGAGCCCCTGGAATGACTGGAATGATGTGTGGTGGGACCACCCAATATTGAGGGTGGACTTATAACCCACCCTCTACACACTCTATGAGAGCACTAAAGAACAAAATCCAACTTGTACGAGGACCTACCCCCCATAACTGTAAACTTTTACAATGCACCCATTACTTTTAATTATAAATAATTCCAAAACCATGACCAGAGAACCTTCAATAATAGGAGATTATGGGTTGGGGGCCGATGTTACAGGAAAGGATCCTATAGGGGTCTTCTCTCTAATACTAATTAAACAAAACAAAAGCCCTACATCTACTAAAGATAGAACTCAAACCCAGAATCCTAGAAATTATTTGGATCTGGTACCCCCCACTTAAGTTCGGGAAATGACCCTTCCAAAATAACAGTTACTGAAGTTAAAGACCTAAGACACACTATAGCTATAGAAATAAGTTATGGGGATGCCAATGCTTGGTTGGCATGGATTAAATACACTGTAAATAAGAGCGATTGTTGTTAATGCCTGTGCAACAGGAAGACCGGAAGCCCAAGTGGTCCCCTTTCCACTCGGATGGTCCTCAGACCCTGAGGGCACGCACTGTATGGTTGCTTTCTTCCAGGACTCCATAGCCTGGGACAAGGAATCCTGTAACTCATTGTCACGACTGTTTCCTAATGTTAGGGGTCTTATGGGTCAGCCCCCGAGGACCATTAAGCCTCTGGCTTCGAATGTCAATTTCATTTCGTGTCTCTCCAGACATGGGGGGAATTTGATGTTCATCGGAAACCTGACGGGATGCAGCATGCACAAACTCTTTGGAGAGCTCCAAAATATTCTATGAGCAAATGTCTGGTGGTACTGCGGGAAACAATTATTCGGGACTTTACTGGTAAATTGGAGTGGCACCTGTTCTCTGGTGCCATTGGCCATCCTTTCACCCCGGCATTCCATCAACCAACAACTACAGGAGACAGGCATAAAGCCAAAAGAAGTGTAACTACTCCCCATGGGTCTTTCGATCCCCATGTTTACATAGGCAGTATAGGAGTTCCCAGAGGGGTGCCCAATGAATTCAAAGCAAGAAACCAAATAGCTGCAGGGTTTGAATCTGTACTATTCTGGTGGTCAACCATTAACAAAAATGTGGACTGGATTAACTACATCTATTATAATCAACAAAGATTTGTAAATTGTACCAGGGATGCTATAAAGGGAACAGCAGAACAATTAGGACCTACTAGCAAAATGGCCTGGAGAAACAGGTTAGCCCTAGAGATGAGATTAGCGGAAAAAGGGGGCATATATGTTATGACTGGAGTCCAATGTTGTACTTGCATTCCCAATAATGCAGCTCCTGATGGTACCATTACTGAAGCATTACGAAGGCTGACCACCTTAGCTAATGAATTCGCTGAAAATTCAGGCATAGATGACCCCTTTTCTAATATCATGGAACAATGATTCGGGAAATGGAAAGAGCTTATGACTTCAGTCCTCACCTCTCTAATTACCGTATTTGGCGTATTAACACTAATAGGATGCTGTATTATACCCTGTATATGAGAATTAGTTCTAAAACTCATAGAAACAGCCCTATCCAAACAACCCCCACCCCCATACCAAAATAACCTTTTTCACCTGGAAACATATGAACACTAAAGTCAACATCTCCTTGCAGAATTTGAAGAAAAGAATGAAAAAGTCTTAAAAAAAATCTTTTTTCTTTTTTCTGTTCATTGTATTCGGTGACCTTTCTCCTTTCTCTCGCTTCCATGATCTCTCTCTTTTTCTTGTAACTACTTCCTGGAGTAAGTAATTCATGATCTCTCTCTTTTTCTTGTAACTACTTCCTGGAGTAAAGAATTTATGATCGCTTTCTTTTTCTTGTAACTACTTCCTGGAGTAAGGAATTTACGATCACTTTCTTTTTCTTTTCCTATAGTAGGAATGTGCCCTTTAAAATTTGAACTAGCCAACCAGGTAAGGGAAAAGATTGTGCAGTCAAAACCCTAGCCAATAGGGTGAGACACAGCCTTGAGACTCACATCAGGGATTAAAAACCTGAGTGGACTGTCCACTTGGTGTGCTCCCTGGCCTGCGCACGGACTGTCTTGCAGGAGTAAATTTTGCTTTGCCAAAGTAATTTAGTCTCACCAAGTGTCTTTTACGTGACATCGGGATTCATTTCTAACACTTGGAGCAGCAGCCCTGGTAGAAAAGGAGACACGTGCAACCTTGGTTTTGGTGGCCTACTCCATAGGGTTGATTGCCTCCCAACGTGAGCCAGAAAAAGGCCCGAGACTGTTGAAAGGTGATCTGAATTAGTGAGAGAGACACGGAGGACTGAGAGGAGAGTAACTGCAGTGACCAGGCAATCTGTGCACAGGGCAGGAAAACTGGACTGTAAGGACTGTCCTGATGGTCAGGCATTTTCAGGGGTCATTGTGTGTCTGAGACCCATCTTGGATGCGAAGCGAGTGCAGAGTCCCAATCCGGTCGGAGAAGGACAAAGTGAAATCTCGGGACTGTATACAAGAAATCTCCCTGAGTACCCAAACATGGGGAAACTTAGGGAGGTTGAGTATGCAAAGGAACTCAGACACCAAGACCAAAAGAAAATGGAGAACGGAATTCTAGGCCTCAGGAAGAAGGGATCAGGAGAGACTCCCACAGATATTCCTCCTGTCAGTCCTTTGGGGAGAATGTTGAGGGCTTTAGGGGATAATCCCCCAACCCAGGAAAAAGATACAAATATTGTTGTTTTATTTGGCCAAAAGAACGAATCCATTCACCATCTGTGTTCTGGTCTCAATTTGGTTCCAATGAGGACTGGGTCTGCCAGGCCCTAGTCCTTCCTGTAAACGCTAGAACTCGGCCTTCTCAGAAAAAGAACAAAGAGGCTATGCTCTTTGTTGGTCAGTAGGGGGAGCAAAATCCGTTTTGAAGATGTTCTGCCTTAAAGGACGGAGACCAAGGCAAAAAGATTGAGGTGATAGATTGTTAAGAGAAGCTCAGAAAGTTTTTGTAAAGAAAGAAGAGTAAAAACAGACAGAAAGCCAGAATCATGGTATCTACTGTGAATAAGATAGTAAATAAGAGGCTAGAACAAGACCCCCTTGTCAAGGGAAAAGTGGAACAGTGATTACAGTGTTAGCCCTCTTCAGAGGAAAGTAAGGAGAGGGCTGGGCCAGGTCCCCAAGCCAGAGATAAAGATCTGAAGGAGAAATGATTCCCCTCATGAAACTAGAAATTAACTTTTGAATCTTCTGTAACGGTAGCTGTTGTAAGATTGGGTTAGGATTCGCGAGGGCGAGGGGTAAAAGTAAATATGAGACTTCTGACTGAAGAGGAGAAAGGAAAGATTGACTTGCTGATAAGGTTTAAAGAGACGAAGCAAACACTATATTGAAAACAGCACTTAGACAATGCTGTCCGACAGGAAACCATGTAAAACAATTAACATTTGGTTTTTTTCTTTCCTATCACATACAGCACCCACTTATACACATTTGGACCAAAGGCAGGAAACGTCTCTGTCATAATGTGAACAATTCTGTCTCCATATTGCAGGTCCTGTTTACCTTCTTGAGTTCTGGCATGTTCCAAGCCTTAGAGGAGGCATTATCACCTGGCTACTTAGACATAGGAGATTCACTGGGACCTTCAAAGCATTCTGTGTTAATCATGACTCCAAGGTTACTCCAAGATTGAGTGGAGAAGTGCTTACTTACTGCTTTGATTCTTTGTCACGAAACTGTGAGAAGGAGAGGCCTTCTAGGGCCGCCCATGTGTCCTCTGATGGGATGTCCTTCCATTGGGGGGCCGGCCCCCCACAGTGGTGCAGCACCGGAAGCGTGAGGACCCAGCAGTTCATCCTTTTATTCATGCACCTTCGGCACAGGTTCACCAAGTACTCTCTCCATCTAGAAAGGGGAGAAGGCATGTCACAGGGGGCTGAGCATGGCAGGGCCTGGGGTCACACAGGGAAGTAACACTACTTACAGCTTAAGGCTTGGAACGCCTGGCATGGAGGAACTCTACCAGTAAGGCACTGGGGAGCACGTCTTTTCAGCAGATAACTTGGGAGACAGGGTACTCTGGGGAACCAGTTCTAACGTGTCAAGCACTGAATCTGCCAGCTTTCTGAAGCCCCACGACAAACTCTGAAGGCCTCATTCCTATCTTCACTTGACAGGTGAGGGAACTGAGAGTCAGAGCGATTAAATCATTCACCAAGGGTCTCACATGGCATACCTGGGGTTTGAACCTGGAAAGTCTCGCAAAAATAAATCTGAGTACAAAGCAACTTTTAAAATCTAAGGGTCAATGGGCCTAAGCGCTACAGACCGTCCAAACCGTAGGCTCCGAGGATCAGACTTTAGTCACCTAGCAGACATAGCAAACTGGCCCTCACCTGATTATTCAGTATGCTTGCTAGAAATCTCATACATGAGCCCTGGATATCCACAAATAAATGTAAAAACCTTCCCTAGAAGCCGAGACTGTAAATTCCAAAAAGGCAAAGTTATTCCCCGCCTCAAAAAAAAAAAAAAAAGCTAAAGAGGATAGAGAGAAATACTTTTAACTGATGGTATATGGAGGGGATTATAATCAATGTAATGAAACAAGTTATATGAATTGTTGAATGTGAAACTGATGATGTGCCCTGTAAACTTTCACTCAATCCACAATACAAACCTTAAATTTAAAAAAAAAAATCTAAGGGTCAAGCATACAGGCAACATATGTTCTCTTTCCTATAATTACAGAACACTATTGCTCTGGTAGCGTAGTGGTTACGAATCAGGCTGTGAACCACAAGGTCAGCAGTTCAAAACTACCAGCTGTTTCGCAGGAGAAAGATGAGGCTTTCTGCTCCTGTAAACATTTATAGCCCCAGAAATGCTTTGAGTTGGAAGTGCTTCAGGGCACACACCACTACTACTCCATGTATGTGATTATGCAGCTGTGAGTGACAGATAAAATCATTACAAGCAGCTATAAAACCTTTCAACCCCTCCCCACTTTTCAAGTACCTTGGAGATGTTCCGAGGACAGGCTGTAAGTCTCGGTCAAAGGTCTCAGGTGAGTTGGCATTTAAGCAGAGAAGGGAGCACACAGAGAACAGGTCACCTTCTGACACGGGCAGTGAAAACTCTTCCACTGCGAACAGGGCAATGAGGCCCATCCTCAGTCTACTCCTCACTGGCCAGTCATCAGGCTGAGGGCCCCTGCTGCCTCCTTCTTGAAGAAGAGCCACCTTCTCTTTCAAATAGCTCCACAGGTCACTCTTCACCTGATCCCATGAGAGAAGGAGACAGTGGAACCAGGGCACTGAGTTCATCATGAAGAGTCAGGAGCTGCCCCACCACTACCCTCAGTGTTGTGTTGAATCAGCTAGGCATGGGACCAAGCCCCACCCCCCACCCCACCGAGGGGCAGGAAGAGTCCTGCAAGGGAGTCTGTCCACCCCCTGCCTGTCCAGCAAGTTCTGAGCAGCAGGAGCCAGGCCAGTGGTGCTCTCCAGAGAACCCTGCAAGGTAGAGGGAGGGGCCCTTGACACCAATGAGGCTCAGCTGTCACCTCCTAGTGGCTGCTGATCTGTCTCAGAATCGACCTGGACCCCACCAGAGTGTGTAGGGTGAGTGCAGTGAGGGATGTGAATTTCTTCTTTCTTCCCAACATCAGGTGACACCATGGGTCAAGATTTACTGGTGCAGTTAGGAAAAGGATGGGCAGGCAGAACATACTCAGGAGGGACAACTAGAATGAGGAAGAACATAGAGTGTTCTTCCCTAATAGGGACAATAGGAGTGAAGGACTAAAAGGTCCACCTGCCCCCATCTGTACCCCAGTCCACCAGGTTATGGAAGCCAACTGGCCAGTAGCAGGTTGGGTGATGATGACTGCCCAGAAAGTGGACATGCCCATTCCCAGCATGGAGGTGCTGGTTACAGAAGTGAAACCAATACCTCACTCTCTCCATACTGCAGAGAGGTCCAAGGCTGTGGTCCTCCTTCATAGACTGTTGGATTTCGGGTAACAGTATAAAACTGCAGGAACTGGGTGAAAAAGCTCTTTAGGTTGATGGCATCCCAGGTCTGGAGGATGCTGAAGATGCTGTCCAGCATGAATCTAGCTGCAATCTGCTTCCCCTTCACCAGTTTTTTCCTTGTACCGTCTGTGACATGATCCCAGAACCTCTGCAACGGACCAGGAGGCTTCATGCAAATTATATCATCATACTGATGCCAATCTAAGAGAGAAAAGAAAAATGAAAGGTAATCAAAACCTATCTGTCCTAAACACTCTACCACAGAAGGCTAATCTTGATGGGCAGAATAACCACAGAGTGAGTGTGTAAAAGGGAGGGGGGAAAGAAAGCAAAGTCAAACTGAAAACATTCGGAACTCAATCCTCCCAGCTGATCTTCCTCCCATTCAGAAGCACTGCTGTGTTAAGGACAGATGGTCTGTCCACTCAATGACCACAGTGAAACTCGAAGTTACAGCATCCAGCTGGCCTGAAAATACTTTGAATATGTCTCTTGACTCTATAGCTCAAGAAACTTGGTAAATGAGTATTATAAAAACTGATCGCGTGAAGGTTAAAGTCATCATACTAAAAAAGGTTATGAGGACTTCTGTTTCTGTCTAAGATAAAATAACAGGGAGACCATGTTTACTCTCCTGCCTGACACAATTTCCAGGCTCCCTGACAGGCAAAATAAATAAAATAACTGTTTTCAAGGCCCACAGTTCTAGGTATGAAGGGCTCTGATCTCTCTGAGACAGGGAGCAGATGAGGTAAGTTTACAATTGTCCCAGCTCACTGTGTGGGAAGAAGTACAGCTGAAGAGCTCCTTAGAAACAACAATGCTGAGGCTTCATCTCTCCTACTTCAGACATATTATCAGGTGGGACCGGTCCCTAGTGAAGGGCATTATGCATGGTAAGGTAGAAAGTCAACAAACTAGAGAAAGACCCCAGTGAGATGGATTGGCACATTGGCAGCAAGAGTGGATTCAACTGGACCAATGAGGACGGTGCAGGAGTGGGCGGTGCCTTCTTCCATCGTGCACAGGGCTGCTGAGTCAGAATTAACTCAGCAACACCTGACAACAGCAACACCTGTCTTCAGAGAGTTTCCAGGCTGCCATGCAGAGAAGGGGAACGGAGATGAAACCAGGGCTCTCTGGATGAAGGACACAACACTCAAGAGTCCAGGGAGACCAAGACACCTACAGCCATCAGGACACAGTACCAGGGTGGACAGAGCTACACAGAGAGTGGGCCCTGGAGGTCTGCAGAGTACGGATCAGTACATGTGTGTGAGGGAACTACCTGAGGTCAGGGAAGGAACCTAAGAATGAGCAACCCCACTCAAGGTGGGAGTTGTGCATGTTCCCACCAGCCAGACTGGAAAACCCCATAATTCAAGAAACAGTGGATAGAGGACTTACAAGATCTTATCCCAGAAGTGGGGAATAAGTAACCTCAGACTAAACATTGGCTCCGCTTCTCCCCAGCAAATCCTGAAACCAAAATCTAGACAGGTCACATGGTTTCCAAAAAAAGTTAAGTGTATTCCAAAACAAAGAAAATTTATAGAAATGAGAAAATATCCAGCACGGTAAGATTCACAATGTCTAGCATTTAATAAAAAGCTACCAGGCGTACAAAGAGGTTGGAAAATATGATACATAATGTGGAAAACCACAGCCTTCGGGATGGATTGTAACTGAATGTAAAGAAAACAAAAATCCTCACCACTGGACCAATAAACAACATCATGATCAATGGAGAAAAGACTGAAGTTGTCAAAGACTTCATTTTGCTTGAATGCACTATCAACACTCATGGAAGCAGTAGTCAAGAAATTAAATAATGTGTTGCATTAGGCAAATCTGTTGCACAAGACCTCATTAAAGTGTTAGTTTGAAAACTAAGGTAATCCTGACCCAAGCCATGGCATTTTCAATATGCATGTGACAGTTGGACAGTGAATAAGAAAGACCGTAGAAGAACTGATGACTTTAAGGTTTTGGCAAGAACAAACTAATCTGTGTTGGAAGAAGTACAACCAGAATGCGCCTTGGAAGCCAGGGTGGCCAGACTTCATCTCTTATACTTTGGACATGTTACCAGGAGGGACCAGTCCCTAGTGAAGTACATTATACTTGGTGAAGTGGAGGGTCAGCAAAAAAAAAAGGACTAACAAGATGGACTCACACCCTGGCAGCAGCAACGGGCTCAAACGTAACACCGATTGTGAGAGGTGTAGGCCCAGGCAGGGTTTTGTTCTGTTGTGCATAGGGTCGCTGTGAATTGGAACAGACTCAAAGGTACTGAACACCAACAATGAGGAAGATACATCAATCCATCCAAACCAACCAAGAAACGACACAGATGCTATAATTTACACAAAAAAGTTCGTTTTTATAACTCTAATTTTTACGTTTAAAAACTACAGGAAAGACAGAGCATGCTAAGTAATAGCTGTTGTTGTTAAGTGCCACTGAGTTGGTTCCAACTTCTAACGACCCTTATAGGACATCCGAGAGCAGCTGATGGGTTTAAACTGCTGACCTTGTGGTTAACAGTCCAGTGCTGATCCTACAGCACCATACCAGGGCTCATGTTAAATAGAGACACGGAAAGTATAAAGACGCAATTTAACCTTAAAGAGATGAAATGGTAATATGTGAGATGAAGACTGCACTGGAGGCTATCCGTGGCAGATTAGGTAACGCAGAAATAAATACCAGCAACACAACAACACATAACCAAGCACACAGAGAAAAGGACTTAACAACACATAACCAAGCACACAGAGAAAAGGACTTAA